CTTCAAAAGTCCTCATAGTCTGTAACAGGCTCAAACTTGTTTAAATGTCCAAAGTTCATTTCTCTTCTGAGGACTCATGGCAATCTCCTGTAAAACCCAAATGGAAAAGCAGATCATATGCTTTCAACATATAATAGTACAATATATATAGTTTTTTTCCAAATGGAAGGAAAGATAATATTATTTATTTATTTATTTATTAAAAATTTCAACCTTCTCCCCTTTTTCCATTTCCCTCCCACTCCCCCCACTTCCCCTCCCTCTCCAGTCCTAAGAGCAGTCAGGGTTCCCTGCCCTGTGGGAAGTCCAAGGTCCTCCCCGCGCCCATTCAGATGTAGGAAAGTGAGCAGCCAAACAGAGTAGGCTCCCACAAAGCCAGTCCATGCAGTAGAATCAAAATCCAGTGCCATTGTCCTTGGCTTCTCAGTCAGCCCTCATTGTCAGCCACATTCAGAGTCCTGTTTGACCATATGCACATTCAGTCCCAGTTCAGCTGGCCTTGGTGAGCTCCCATTGAAGAAATACTGAACCAAAGTCAGACCAGAAACACATCTCGGCAAATTTCAAACTCTACATCTCCATGTCTGATGTCTAAGCACTCTTCTGATCTCCAGTTCATTTCAACTTTGTTGACTGCAACATACTTCTTTATCTTTAGCTGGTTCCACTCTATGTTAACAGTTCTCTTCATTTTTTTCTTATTTTTTTATTACTTTATAAATAATACCAATCAAAATTTCCACTTCCTCCCCTCCTCCCACTCCCCTCCAGTTCCCCCACACAGTCACCTCCAGTCCACCTCCAGTCCTAAGAGAGGGCAAGGTACACTGCCCTGTGGGAAGTCCAAGTTCCTCCCCACTACAATCAGACTTAGAAAGTTATGCATCCAAATAGAATAAGATCCCCAAAAGCCAGTACATGCAGTAGAGACAAATCCCAGTGCCGTTATCATTGGCTTCTCAGTCCGACCCAATCGTCAGCCACATTCAGAGGGTCCAGTTTGATCCCATGTTTGTTCAGTCCCAGTCCTGCTGACTTTGGTGAGCTCCCATTAAATCAGGTACACTGTCTCAGTGGGTGGACCAACCCCTCGCGATCCTGATTTCCTATTAGGGACTGGAATAGGGGCCATTTGAATAATTTTTTGTTCAAGAATCTGGTTTCCTTCTGCCTATTTCATGAGTATTTTGGTGGAGTTGAGTTCACAAATATTGAGCCAATTAAGTTGAGGAATTTTTGGCAGGAAGAACATTTAGGCTGTAGCACTTATTCATGTCTACAGTGAAAAGACAGAAGAGAGATGGAACAATATATTTTAAAATATGTTTGTCAGGAAAGAAACAATTCAAGATGAACACCCTACCAGAAAAAAAAAACTTTTTGTTTTTCTTAAAGGACATATTTGTCAATATGTGTGTGTGTGTGTTTGTGTGTGTGTAGTTTACATCTTAGACACTGATAGAATACCTTATTTTTACAGTAGGTAGAAGCTTAATACATTGGCTCAAATCTCCGACATTCTGAATTTAAGTCACTGTTAAATGAACATTGCTAAATGGAACAGCTCTATTACTCCTTCCTAGATCCAGAAAATGTCTTGAAAGAAAGAGCTGAAAGAACCTAAGAGCTGGGTAGTGTATGGAGATCAATGTTATTCAGTTCTGTCTTCCGCATATGAGAAAAACATTGTAATTGCGAACAAACAGAACCTGTGGCTAAATGCACACCAGTGGCATAAGATCTGGCTTTTCAACACCTCTTCATGGATAAGGAAGACACTAATGAATACCAATCCTTCACTGAAGAGCTTTTAACAATAAAGTTCACTCAAAAAGAGGTATTTTTCTTTTGGATAAGTATCCAGAGGAAAGTGACTTGTTTCTACTACTTATTTTGAGAATTAACTTTGGGAGAAGTATTATAAACATTCAAGCAATTGCTAAAGTACGTAAACTCACATATTGGAAACTCCTGAGGCCATAAATTGTCCAAACCTTTGGGGAACTAAGAGTAAGTCTCACAGGTAAATGGCATCTCAGTAAACCTACATTAAATTCCACTTTCTGTTATATAAAGATTTTGGCTCCTTTATTTTTCTTTTATTCTTAAACCACACTGAAGACAGTACCAAAGAATTACTTTAACATTTAATATTTTAATATCCTCTATCTTAACTGCCAGGATTTTTTCTCTTTTGAATCTAGAAAAAAGAATTGACTATAGTCACAGCATTTTGGACATCATTGAATGAACTCTCTGTAGAAAAGAGGAGCAGCTTTGCCCAGATTTTCAACACAGCTGACACATGGTGAGACTAATAATTCAGATACTGGTCTTTACTTTGGGAATGATTTAAGTCACAAAGTGAATTATTCTGATTAATACCACCTACATTCTTTTAAGCATTAGGTTTCTGCCTCTGAATTGTTTAGAAAAAACTAAGTTGAAGTTTTGAACTGCTTCAGTTTTAGCTGTCATGGCTTATTATTCTTTTAAAATGAGCTGAATTTCCCAAGACATGAAAAGAGATGCTCTGAGAATCTATTAGGAAATATGCGAGAGGAAACAAAACTCCTTTCTCCAGCATTACAAAAGTAGTAAAATGAGTAAATTTGAGACATTAAGGAGACATACCAGAGCAACATGAAGAGAGAAGGATCAATAATCCAAAGAGAAGTTATTTCCTAGAGAATGATGGAAAGAATTTCATAGTTACATATAATAATATTTCTTTGGAAGTTAATAATTTTAGATAAAATACATGGCTTTAAGCAAGTTTGAATACCTTGGTTTGAGTATAATTTTAATTCGTTATTCTCATTGCAATAATATTTATGTGCTTGTTTAAAGTGAATTTAAAAGCAACTAGCTAGAAGAACAACCTCTCTGTTGATTCCTGGTGTTTTCGAATGTCATACACAATTTACATTAACGAAGAAATTCTTTTATCTTCAGACAGAGTGGTGTTGCAATTATCTTTGCAGCTAAGATTAATGGGAAAGAAATAGTGGGCAGTATGGACAGTTGAGCACCTAGGAACACACTACCCAAGATAACCCCTTAAGGAGCTCCCATGGTGATCATTATTACCACTGTGAGGGACTCCTGGTCAAGATGAGGAACAGATCTTGAATATTTAACTACATAGCTATTAGGGGAAAGATCATCAAACATTCCAGAAGAAATAGAGAATAAATAAATTGGTCCTTATGTAAAATTATTGCTTTAAAAGTCTAAGAGTACATGAGATTGGATAGGATTGATTTGGTATTATGGTCACTTATGAAAAGAATAAAATAGTTCAAAGATATTAAAGTGAGATGTAATGCTATTAGCATCTGAATTTGCTGCAAACCTTCCTTAGAACTTTAAGTCTTGTTTGGTAGACTTATAATTGATGTTTAACCTGAAATATTTTGAAAATAGTCAAATCCTATCTTTTGAGGTGGGTAATTTTTGAGACAGGATATCATTGTGTAGCTCTGGCTGTCCTGAAACTCACAATGTGGATTGGCAGGTCTCAAGCTCAGAGATCTGCCTTCCTAGTGCTTGGATTAAAGGCCTGTACCACTATGTCAGGCTAATTTTATCGTGTGTGCATCCATATGTGTGTGCAGTCTCTTTTATAATATTGTAGGTGCAATGTCAATAAATGGGGACGTAATTTTCTGTCTTTTTTCCATTAACACATTAGAAAACTACATCATAATTGAAGTCTTCTTGGTATTAAAGCTTAAGTTATAGTATCATGTGACTATAATTTGTAATAGTCTTATTTACATACCAAAATATTGTGCATGTTTTAGATCTGTGTTTAATAATTTAAACAGCATCACATTCTCATGTAAAATTTCATTTTATTTTTAGAATGAATTCTGAAGATTGGACTAATAATGCAAGAATTTAAACAAACATAAAGTTTGGAGTTACTTTCTAGTATTTTTTAAAGTATTACTTGAATAAACAATATTGTTTTAATTGGTATAATTCTTCAAATGTTATTTTAAAGCATTTTTATTTTAATTGATTTAGTTTTATATCAGCATGTGTGTAGATGCTGTTTGAAACAATACTGGCATCAATATTTACAGCTTCCTTTGTATACTCTACATAATATCCTGGGAACAGTTACAGATTTGCCTGGGTATCGTGGCACAAGAGTGGAGGTGGAGGAGAGAAGTTTGGGATTTTCAAGTTTTCCTAGGATAAATGGTGAGTGTCACTTCAACCTGGACTGTATCAGAACTGGTCAATGCTCTATGAAAATAAAGAACTATTTGCTTTTTCTTCATTGAACCAACCCTTATGTCTGGTAGTTTTGTCTATTTATAGTTCCTATTATAAGTAAAACTATTTTCTTAGCTATTTTACAGCAAAAGTAATGCTAATTTTCTATTTAGGATTTGTGTGTTTGTGTGTGTGTGTGTGTGTGTGTTTGTATTTGTGTTGAGAAGGGAATAAACAAATGTACATCATGTAGGACCAACATTTTACTCATTCTTAGCACCTTGTACTTACTATAATTTTAGATTAACACTAATAATAAACAATAGAACACTTCAGGAAATCAGACATATGGATTCATTTGATGCTTTACTGTGTATGGAATGGAACAGGACTGAGTAGCATCCAGTGAGTAACAGACTGAGGCACATGCTGATAACAGGTATAGTTTATAAATTCTGTTTTTGCTAATAGCTAGCTTTAGCTTCAAAGGATATGTTACTATTTTACTGAAAAATACAGTAGAAGTTGATAAAAACTGACCTTTAAAAGATATACTATTTCTGTCTTTAAGCAAATGTAATTGTTTTCATTCAATATTCAAAATGTGGCTGCTTTAAAATATTTCATAATTTGCCTTAATTTCAAGTCTACGTGCTACACAAATCAAGATATTTTAATATTCTATGGTAATAAATCAATTATTATAATTTTGATTGTTGATGGTAATATTAAAAACTATATGAAGGATTTTTCACTCATGTTTGCAGATTTACATGAACACATTTTACTTCCATCTTCTTCTTGAGAATCATGCAAAACCAGAGCTTTATTAATGAGTTCATACTCCTGGGGCTATCTCAGAACACAAAAGTAGAGAAAATATTGTTTGTTGTGTTTTTGCTAGTCTACCTTGCAACTATTGGTGGCAACACAATAACCGCAGCAGCAATTATCTACAGCCCTGCACTGCTGGGAGCACCCATGTACTTCTTTTTGGTATTTCTGTCATTACTAGATGCCTGTACTTCTACTGTTGTAACACCCATGATGATCGTAGGTTTCTTCTACGAAAGGAAGACCATCTCCTTTGAAGGCTGCATAGTACAACTATTTGCCATACACTTCTTTACTGCTGTAGAGGTGATTATCCTGTCGGTTATGGCTTATGACCGTTATGTGGCCATTTGCAAGCCCTTACACTACTCCTCCATCATGAACAGGAGGCTCTGCGTTCTTTTGGTTGGGGTAGCATGGATTGGGGGATTCTTGCATTCTATCATACAAATTATTTTCACCCTGAAGTTACCCTTTTGTGGACCTAATATCATTGATCATTACATGTGTGACTTGTTCCCATTATTGAAGCTTGCTTGCACTGATACACACATTTTTGTTATTTTAGTATTTGCCAATAGTGGTTCTATCTGCATCATTATCTTCTCCCTATTACTTGTCTCCTATGGCGTCATCTTGTTCTCTCTGAGAGCCCACAGTTCTGAAGGACGACGTAAAGCTCTCTCCACCTGTGGATCCCATATTATAGTTGTTGTTTTGTTCTTTGTCCCATGCATATTAATATATGCACGACCTTCATCACCATTCTCTTTTGAGAAAAACACACTTATATTTGCCAATGTCCTGACACCATTGCTCAATCCAATGGTTTACACATTCAGGAATAAAGAAATGAAGAATTCCATCAGCAAAATTTGGAAAAGACTGATAGTAGTTTCTGATAAATATTAAAGAACACTTTTATGGTACCGGAGAGAAGAATTTGCCAGTGTGAGCATATGGTGTGCTGTCAAGAACACCTGAGCTCAGCCCCATCACCCAGGTGAGAAGTTAGGTGTGGTAGCACACCTTTAATCCAACAGTGTTGAAGTGCAGCAGATTCCAGTCAGGTTGGTAGACAGCTATTTTATCTGAAGAATAGCAAGTTCAAGGTTAGTCTAGATTTTGACAAGGAAATAGGATAGAGAGCAGAAGATGTACATATACAATGTCCTTTTTCATCTCTACATTCATATGCATAGGCACAAACATCATCCCCCAAACATATATGAACACATATGTATGTAACTCATCTACTTCCATGAACAACGAGGCAAAAATAGTCACATATATGACAGTTAATGTAAATGAAAAGTAGCCAGAATTTGCTCACACAATCATCTCATTATTTACTCAGAGAGAAAAACATTATATTGTTTGGTAGAAAGTTCATCAATACTGAGGGTAAGAAATCTCTTTCCTAGATTATATATTCATTTTAAATTGGCCACTTAGTATTGTTTCATGTATGTTAAACCAGTTCAAGTTCATATTCTTATTTATCTAAAAAATAGTTTGAAAAAAAGAACAATTACAATGTTTGTCATCATATTTAATCTAAAGAAAAAATGATGATAAAATAAAATAAATGTGTCCCTGAAATTAGGAAAGAAACACACAAAACTTTTTCAAGAGGAAATAGGTTCTGAATGATGTTATAAAACCCCAGAACCTTGATAGTGGGATGAAATCAGAGCCTTAAATCTAGGTCTTCCAGCATCATTTGACTCCATTTTAAGCTGGGTACCTTCATGTTTCTTAGAAAAAAATGAGTAAGTTTTTCTTTTGTATGATGTCCTTGTCCCCGGCCAATAATTTAAATGACCATATTTCATATAAGGCATCTTGTCTTCTAGATCAAACAATGGCAGATATTGGGCATCACTTTCTAGCAGGACCAAGAAAGAAGGGATAGAATCCAGAAGATCTTGATATTTAATTACCATTAAAAAGAATAAAAAACTAAATAATAAGTTAATTATAAGTTAAATAATAAGTTAAAAAGAGCAATAAATTTCAATTTATATATACAAAATCTCCAAATCACTAAATAAATATATGTATGTATGAAATTGATTGCATTCATATAGCTATCAAAAGAGATAAATAAAGTTAAAAAATATGTCACTTCATGGTTGTGGGTTTACAAAGTCAAGCTGTAAAGTAGAATGTGCATGAATTTAATTTAATTACACATTTTTCCTTTATAACCAAGTGCAATGACTTATGGGCATGATAACTAAATGCTCATACTGTGTTTATGTCTCCTTATTATTAATTACCAGAGCCGAAGTGCATGGTCCTACAAAGGATGTGTGAGACTGTATTGATTTCCCATTTGCATACAAAGTAATGATATAAAAACAGAAAACTGGAAACCATAACATATAAATAAACACACAAATACTTTTTTGAAGGCTAAAAGCCCCAAAAAAGCATTATGAAATGAAAAGCCTCCAAAATACCTTTGAGTTCATTGTGTTGGACTTATGTTTCTGGGCAAGGGATCTGCACTCAAGTACCCTTTGTATACCAGTGACACTCCATTGGAAAACAATAATTTTTTGTGTGTGTGAACAGTTACCAATTTGGGATACTATATAGATAAAGGTAACTTGTCTATTGTCCATTAAATAAATTCCCATTTGTGCTCATGAAAAGAACTGCTCTTAAGTCCATATGTATTGTGGGAGTTCATTCTGCCAATAGCATTGAGTATTGCCCTTCGAGCATGATCTTGGGGCTTTGTAAGGACTGATAAGCCTGAGAAGAATGTTTGTTAACTCTTGGGCTCTTGCTGGGCCTGACGTGGCTAGAGACCCAAGGGGGATAAAGACTCAGCATGAAATTGGCAGTGGCTTCAGGATTACTCTATATATGTGAGTTTGTCCTTTTATTACACCTCTTTTTTAAATTAATCAATATATTTATTTATTAAAAATTTCCACCTCCTCCCCTCCTCCTTTTCCCCTCCCACTCTCACCACTCCCCCTCCTCCTCCCTCTCCAGTCCTAAGAGCAGTCAGGGTTCCCTGCCTGTGGGAAGTCCAAGGTCCTCCCCCCTCCATCCAGGTCTAGAAAGGTGAGTATCCAACAAATTAGGCTCCCACAAAGCCAGTCCATGCAGTAGAATCAAAACCCAGTGCCATTATCCTTGTCAGTCACAATGACAGTCAGCCCTCATTGACAGCCACATTCAGAGAGTCCAGTCTGATCACATGCTCCATCAGTCCCATCAGCTGTCCTTGGTGAGCTCCCATTAGATCAGTTCCACCATCGCAGTGGGTGGACGCAGTTCTGACTTCTTTGCTCATGCTCTCCCTCCTTCTGCTCCTCATTTGTACCTTGGGAGTTCATTCCAGTGCTCCAATGTGGGTCTCTGTCTCTATCTCCATTCATTGCCGGATGAAAGTTCTATGGTAAATCGACAAACCTATGAACACCTGATTTTCAACAAAGGAGCTAAAATTATACAATGGAAGAAAGAAAGTATCTTTAACAAATGGTGCTGGCATAACTGGATGTCAATCTGTAGAAGAATGAAAATATATCCATATCTAATACCATGCACGAAACTCAAGTCCAATGAATTAAAGACCTCAATATTAATCTGACCACACTGAACCTGATAGAAGAGAAAGTGGGAAGTAGTCTACCACACATGGGCACAGGAGACCACTTCCTACCTAGAACCCAGTAGCACAGACAATAAGAGCAACAATGAATAAATGGGACCTCCTGAAACTGAGAAGCTTCTGTAAAGCAAAGGACACTGTCATTAAGACAAAAAGGCCACCTACTGATTGGGAGAAGATCTTCACCAATCCCACATCAGATAAAAGTCTGATCTCCAAAATATATAAAGAACTCAAGAAACTAGACATTATTACATCTCCTAATAATTTGTTTTTTTATAACTTTGTGAGTTCATGCATCATCTGACACCCAATGTGGGGCTCAAAGTTTGAATGTCTCATGCTATACTGACTGAGCTAGATGTCCTTATGCTGTGAATATGCAATTCTCTCATCGTTTGATGAATTAAAGCTGTTTCAGCCAGTGGCCATGCAGAAGAAAGCCATGCAGGAAATCCGAACAAGGATACAGAGGAAAAAAAAATGTGGATTCAGGAGACACCATGTAGTCAATGAAGGAGTAATATGCCAGATCATCTCTGGTAAGCCACAGCCATGTAACAATACAGATTAGTAGAGATCAGTTAATTTAATTGTGTGAGATAATTAAATTAATCAGTTAATTTAATTTAATTAGGTCCATGCCTAAACCATGGACCAAACAATTACAATTAATATTGAGGCTTTGAGTGTTTATCTTATAAGCAGCTATGGGACTGGCAGGTGGGAAGAAACCTGTCTAGTGGGACTAGGCAAGATGGAAAAAAGTCTCCACTCACACATACGTATATAGTAGAAAAAACAGTTGAACCAGCTGATGATAAGAAGATCCAGAAGATTTTAGAGCAGAGAGGATTCAGTTATGGGTTGACAATATTATCATAATATATTGTTATTTGTTTATTTCTGCCTTTGATTAAGGTATTGCATGTGTACAGCTTATTTAAAGATGTAATGTACAATTAAGAAATATAACTAAATAGAGAGTCATCTATAATAGTCAAGGTTATAGTCATATTAGTTAGCTTTTATAGATATACAGAGATATATTTCAGTTAGATATGTATTCTTAAAATCTTTCAGAACCCTCCAGAATATGACATTTAAAGTATTTTAAGAACTTAAGACTTTGTTTTGACAATAAGACACATCTGTTAGTCACAGCACCAAGCTACCTCAAGAGAATGATGGGTATTGAAGAGACTCCTTATGGAGTTGGTTAGCTATTTGAGCAAGAAACTGCACTTACCTCAACTGCTTCATGGTATACTGTAAAATATGGTCATGAAGAACCCACAGTGAAATGACTGCTGAACTTGTCTAAAGGTGAGGTGATCCTTTGAGGTTCCTATTTTGTGAAAGAGCCTGTGAAGCATTCTGTAGGACACAGAAAAATGTTGTGGACAAACTGCCAGTATTGGTGGAACTTTTTTTTGAAAATTCCTGTTTCATGGAAAAGTTTGCTGCATACTATGGGCCTGTGTACTGAGGATGGATGCCCAAACAGTACAGAAGAACTTTGGGTGAATGTCCAGGTAGCAAGATGTCTCTGTTAATTATAGAATTTTGGAAGTTACTTGCAATGCACTTCCTCTTTACTTAGGTAATATTATATCCTTCTGGAGTCTTTGATGGAGTTGAAGAATAGATAGATAGTTATAGCTTTCCTTAGTTATGATAAAAGATGAAGTAAATAGAAATATTGTTACTGCAATTCTTGCTTGATACCTGTTTCATTATATGTGATTTTATTATGTTAAAGTTAAAACCTTCTTTTCTATTTAAACAGAAAAGGGGAGGTGATGTGGGAGTCCCCTCTGTGTGCTGTGATTACCATTAATGAATAAAGAAATTGCCTTGGCCTATTGATAGGGCAAAACTTATGTCAGCAGGTAGAACTGGACTGAATGCTGGGAGAAAGGAGGGCAGAGTCAGTACACGCCATGGAACAGCTACCAGAGATAGATGTGAAATTTTGCTGGCAGGCCATGTCCTTGTGGTGATACACAGACTAATGGAGATGGTTTAAATTAATTTGTAAGAATTAGCCAATAAGAAGTTAGAGCTAATGGGCCAACCAGTGATTTAATTAATACAGTTCCTGTATGGTTATTTTGTTTCTGAGTGGCCGGGATGAACAATCATCTCCTTCATCCAACATAAAATACTTCCTTTTTTTCCATTATATAATTTTCGCTTCTTTATCAAAAATCAGTCATTCATTGATTGATTTTTGAGTCTTCAATTTGATTCCATTGGTCAACCTGTTTGTTTTTAT